CTTTTTTTAATGTATTTTAATATAAGTAATAACTTATATTGTAATATCATGGTCGAAGTATAAATAAACTCTGTCCGCGAAAAATTACTCCACGGACAAAGTATAATAATCATATACGGCCGTGTAATTATTATTATAATAAGATAATTACATTTAATTATAAAAATAAAAAAGAACTTTTTTTTTTTACCAAGTCACGATGGATTATATTCTCGGAGTGTAAACACATTAATCCGCAAGTAATGTCCAACGCCATTTGAAGTTTATCTTTTAATTGCAACTAATCGAATGAATTTTGCAGGTAAGCTATCAAACTTCCAAAAATTAACGGGACGATATACATAATTTTTATAAGTTTATGAATGCTTTAAACATGCGATTTGATATAATGTCATACAAAACTCATATTCATGTTGAGCTCATTTCATAGAGTAAGTTACAGTCATACATTCCTTAGTAAAACCATAATTAAGTTTCCACCAGGTATTTTTCGTAATTTTGAGGAATCGATTGATATTTGAGTGATGATGATGATTTTACAAAAGAAGTTTCAACTAAAAATGAAAGTACGAGAAAATTTAGTCTAATAGGTCAAGATTAGTAAATAAACAAGTTTATATACCTCTTTGACAAACTCTTCATACCATTTTGATTAATTTAATTATTCTTTAAAACTTTTAACACAAGCTTTAATTCCACGATTATTCTAATTAGCTCGATTAACAGCGCCAAATCCAGCTATTCAACATTGGAGAACTCGTTATAATTAAAATAATAACTTATATCTTCATCCTTTACTTTTGTTTCAAGCCGTTCCTTTTTTATGAAATTTTTTTTTTTTTTTTAGATCAAAAGGCATTGCATTTTAAACAATTTCCAAATCTGGGTTGCAAATCTATAAAAGGAAGACAAGCAAAATTATTTCCAAAATTGGAGATGTGTTCAAGTTAATGGTCATATGCATGAAAACAAATATTCCCAGAAAACAAGCTTTCGCTATATAAAACTTTGAAAATTTTATTATCGTTTTTCTGTTGATTATAATGGTTGAAATCGACTATCTTAACTGGTTAATAATCGAATAAATATTCTTTTAACCGATTAAAATTTAGCTTAAGCCTGCACTATCCTAAAGATTATTTCTGGACGAACACTTAATTTCAACCAGATTAAAATTAATTATTTAACCATTGCAAGCATTAATGTATATGATTCCACAAAGCGATATTAATTCAAACTTTTTTTAAGTATAGTCTTTTGCCACTAAACCTAGAAAATTTTCGTCATCCCACTGCAAGATCATCAGGAATTTTGTATTGAGATGATGATCGTTCCAAATTTAATTAACGGGCGTAATTTCCAAATTAGCATATGACTTGCAGCTTTTTCACTTTTACAAAAATAAAAAAAAAAAATGACTTTGGAAGACGATTACGAAAGGTTACTCGATACAGACGAGGAATATAATGTTATTATATATGTCGGTGAAAATGAAAACGTTAAAGAATTTCATGCTCTTTCAAATATTATGCGTATCAGGTCGCAATATCTTCGTAACGAACTAACTAAAGGAAATGTTGAAAAAAATGATGGAAAGTTCATTTTAAAAATACCCATTATTTCACCACATATTTTTAAAACTATTTTAAGGTAAATTAGTTGGCATATAATGTAAGATAATTACAACAATTATATCTAACATATTTTTATTTTTATTTTTTTTTTTTTAATAATTTAGATTTATATATTGTGGGAAAATTGAAATTACGAAATTTGAAGATCTTGAATTATTAAGAATATTAATAGCAGCAGATCTACTAAATCTTCAAACTTTAGTTCACAGAATTGAAGAATATTTACTCAATGACCATCACGAGTTTTTACAAAAAAATTCCTTAGAATTTCTTGAAATAATTTATCAACACGAGTCCTTTGCAAAATTATCCAATTTTTATGTTGAAAAAATCTGTGAAGACCCTGAAGCGTTGATTAATACTGATAAATTTATCGGTATAAAAGCACCGTTATTGGAATTACTTTTGAAACGGGATGATTTATGTTTAGAGGAAATTGATATTTGGAATAATTTAATTAAATGGGGTTTTGCTCAGAATCCGAATATTCCTAAAGATGTCACCAAATGGAGCAAGGAAGTAACTACAATCATGAAAAGAACCCTTCACAGATATATCCCTCTAGTTAGATTTCATTATATATCATCAGAAGATTTTCATGAAAAAGTACTACCTTTTAAAAAATTACTACCAAAGGATTTATTTAACACTACCTTAGCGTCTTATTTGGCACCAAACAAGAAATCAAATATCGATATACAACCACCCAGACGGCCAAATATTGTTTATGATTCAATATTAGTTAAATCTCGGCATTTTTCCTTATTCTCGAGTTGGATAAAGAACGAATTACATTATCATAATTTTAATTTAATATATCGTGATAGTAAAGATGGCATGTCACCTGCAGCATTTCATCAAAAATGTGATAAGAAAGGGGCTACTATTGTTATAGTACAAATTAAAGATTCAGAACAAATTGTAGGAGGATATAATCCAGTTGAATGGGACTCAGTTAGTGGATGGAAACTTAGTATAGATAGTTTTGTATTTTCATTTAAAAATGGAAAGGAACTTAAAACCGCAAATGTAGGTTATAGTGATGGTCAAGTTTCTTCTATAGGTTGTTTTTCAGGTTATGGACCCTTATTCAGTGATAATTTAAGACTAGAACAAAATGGTAGTTGGACAAACTATCAAAGTCTTAATTACAACGTTAATGATATACCTGCGAGTTTTGATATGTATGATTACGAAGTATTTCAAGTTATTAAATAATAATGTAATATTTTTAATAAAATGAACCGGAACAAAAATTCTTTGCTTAAATATAATCAAAAAATAAAAAATTTCATAGATCATGCGATAAAGTCATTTATATAGTAAAATAAGGATAGATACCTGGATTGTAATCTCAAACCTAACAATGTTTGCATACCGAGTTTTTGATTATTTAGTATCAGGAAAGTATCATTATATTGAAAAAAATTATATTCCAACGCTAGAAAATAAAAATCTCCAAATTGTTTTTTGTTCAAATGATTTAAAAAAAGCCAGACACTAAAGGCTATAAGTTCAATCATAATTATGGTCGTGCTGATAACATTACGTTTTTGGATTTACGAGTAGTACAGTGATTGTTTGAAAATACCCTCAGGATATCTTTACATCTTTTTAGGTCATAGTCACATTAACCAGAATTTACTTATTTTTTTTTGTAACTTAACTCTTTTGTTAATAGATAAACTTTTGACGACATAAAATTTAAATCGTTACTAGACGATTTATAATTGAAATTACAATATTTCTACCAACACAAAAAAATAAGAACAATACGATCTTTTGATATGAACTAATATCACCAGATTGCTTGTTCATGAACATTATTTGGGAAGGGAGTTCAAAGGTCAATTATAATTCGTTTTGTCCCGAATATCTTTTCAGGCCTTTTAACCTTTCCTTATTTCTGTTCAATTGTCAATTCTAACATTCATACCTATATCAACTTTCACTTTTCTAAACGTGTATTAGTTCCATGAAATATATTAATTAATTAATAAAAAAATAATAAAGGTCAACAATTAAACATAATTACTTTTATTGATTAACGCTTTTCTGCATCAATTAATTTTAAGTTTTGTTCATGCAATTAGAAATAATGATTTTTTATAGATAATGAATGAAGTCGAACACATTGGCTTCTATATTTAAATATGCAATAGAAAAAATATATATAAGATTTACCCACTCATTATATAGAGTATTCACATTTATTGTAACATTTGAATTAAGCAGCCAACAAAGGAAGACACTGAGACGTACAAATTGTCAATGTAGCAGGATAGGAAATATTATATATAATGATGATGTTATCATTCTGACTATTCTGACTGAACCATTCAGTAATGTACATAAAATAATTTCAATCAACCAAATTAATTATTGAAATTTAAGGTAAGAGATGTATTTATTCAATTCTTAAAAAAAAAAATAAATAAATAAAATTAAATTAGATGTAAATACCTGGAACAACTTTCGAAATTGCTGCACTTGTGACTGTATATACCAGCATAATTGATATCTATGGCCGGCCAAAAAAAATGAGGACCTTTCTAAAAAAGGAAGTCTGTCACGAGTAGTGCTCCGTAAGGGTCGGGTCGGGTCGGGTTTGAAGCATATTCGAACTCGAACCCGTTAATAATTACAGAAC